CATTCCCCTCGACAAATAATCGCCGACCGTTGTCGCTTATCACCGAACACCGAGGCGATCACAAGGATCAAAAGATTTCGAACTTTCAAGGCGGTCAAACGTATCTTCGCGCGTCGCGAACTTTCCCGAGCAATTATAACGTTTCTCGGAGAGCCGACAAACGACACGCGTGCCACGCACTGTCAATCGATACGTTACCTTTATATCGATACGTTATTTCTCATTTCCCAATAATTAAAGGATAATTTAAAATATTTTCGTCGGTCCTTGAAATACTTGAAATCAGGTTCTTGTATTGGGCATCGTGTCACGTTAACACGTGTATCTTCGATCGAATCGTATTCCGCGTGAGAGTGATGTTAGTGTCAACGCTGCGACATAACGGCCAGAAAGCTGGGTGGAGAAGTCAGAATAGAAGATGCAGGACGCCAGGATGCGGGCAACAGTACGTTATATATTCCCAAGGTATGTCAGATCATTTATCATACACGAGAATTCCGTCCTTAACTTCCTTAATGGACGTTTGACGAACTTACCGGTAATAATGAAATATCGAAATTTAAACCGACATTCATAGTGCGTTACTATTTTATACTGATTAATTATTTTATCAGTAAGTAATTATTCGTCGACTTGTTCGACACGATTATTCGTGTACTCTTATTATTTGTTATTTCACCCAAAAAGAGACTGGATCCAAATAGCCGAATAACGGCAAGTATATATAGGAATGCACAATTAATTATGTTCTCAACGAAAGATCTTAAATAATTCGTAACTAAAATATCGGCTCGAAGTCTAATGTAAATCTTGTATATTTTTGCTAATTTTTGCATCTAATAATGCTCCTTTGGCCGAGTGCTATCTGATTTATATCTGCCAATACTTTCTCCTTATTTCTATTTAATTTTATTAATTATTTAATCGTACATAATCAAAATTTAAATCTCAATTGATAAATACAGCATTATTGGGTATAACAGTTATATATATATCTTTATCTATATCTTCTTCGTTATCAGCTGTCTTAAGAGCTTCAAATTCGATTAAGACTTCCAACGTCAAAAGGGAAAAAGAGAGATTATAAGAATAAAAATCGACGCTTCTTTTTTCACTTACATCTTAATCCTTATTAAATTATTTAGCATTTGCTTATCTCGTGTATTCTCTTTGCAACTAAACAAGTCAATTAATATAATTAATATATTACTGACTAAAATTGAAAATAAAATTTAAGTGCAGATGGAATATTGAGATAATCCAATATTGAATAATTCTGAAGTGAATTTTTTTCCATAGAATTCAGCATGAAAAAAATAGTAATAAATAGCCGTTTTTATTGTCTCAAGGTAGGACAATAGTTTGCATGTACAGGATGGGGCAATAATTTTGTCTATCTGGAATATTTCCGCTATTTTTATAAATGTAAAAATATTTTAATTATAAAAGTTGTATGATATCAAGAGGATCATATCGAGAGGATGTGTTAATAATAATTTTTTTGTGACTGGAGGCGCTTCGGAGATTTCAAGGACATCTTCATTTTTTTTTAATGACACGCTATACTTTTTTTATTAATGCAATAGCGGATGTCTAGACGATTTCAACGACCTATAGCACAAGGTTATTCGACATTAAGTAAAAAATTAAAATAATGATTCTTACGTCATAAGAAATGTTCGAAGCGATATCTCTTTGCATCGATGCAGCATTGCAATCAGCGAATTCCTGATGCACGTGCACTCCTTATCACCTCTGGACCGGATTGCAATATAACAACATCCTGCTTCATATTTTCTTGTGTGGTTGACTTTTCTTGGCATACAATATTATACTATAATCGCTGCGAATTACTGTAATACGTGTGTTGCAATCAGTCCGGAAGTGATAAGAAATGCACGTGCCTTAAGAATTCGCCGATTGCAATGTTGTATCAATGTTAACAGACGTAACTTTGAACACTTCTTATGACGTAAGAATCATTGCTTTACTCCTTTACTTAATACCGAATGACTTTCTACTGTAGGCCGTTGAAAAACATCTATTCCATTTGCCATTGCATTAAGAATAAAAGAATATAGCACGTCATTTAAAAAAAACGGACTTTGAAATCTTCGAAGTGCTTCCGCCCACGATAAAATTATCATCAACATATTATCGCCCTCTTGATGCCGTAAAATTTTTGTAATTAAGATATTCTTACATCTTCAAAAAAATAGCGGAAATATTCCAGGTGGGCAAAGTTATCGCCCCCATCCTGTATGATGCTACATCTCGAAATTCTTAATTAGTCCTTCAAGAGTACGACGACTTGCGAGCTTAACGTAGAACCAAAATTCCGACTCGACAAATCGTATATTTCTATTTCTTTCCTCGGTGACCTTTTAAATCACGATTTTATCGGTGCGTTTACCGTCTTACGCGTGCTCATGCTCTTACGCGTATTATTTCAACGCGCACACACACACAGATACGCGTGTAGCTGCGGCGTCCGCGTATTACACGGCTCCGTCATTGGCCGAAGTCAGAAAATATGTCGTGTCCTTGCTGGGAGCAGCCGAGAGTGCGAGTCGCTCGAGCTCAATAAACGCACGTCATTTCGAGTCATTCATGCATCTGCAGGTTGTCCTCGCGCTCGTCTCTCCCTCTCTCTTTCTCCTTCGCACACGAGTATACGCACACTCGCTGGTGTGTGTATATGTGTGTGAGTGCAACTGCGTTGCGCACGTGCGTGCGTGCTCGCGCATTGATCGCCCGGTTCGGCGAGAATCCTGTGGATCCTTCCAGCGGGATTCACGCGAAGTCGAAAAGACAGAAGCGAAAACAGCAGAGGCGCGTCTCGCATTGATCTCGGGTGAAAATCGCTAATGTCAACTGTAAGTCGGGTTAGTACCGATCTACACTGAAAGAAAAAGTACTTAAAAATTTATTTGGATATAAAATTTATTTCTGTAAAAAATAAGATTTATTAAGAACTGTATGTTTCATTTTTGTATGAAGTTTTTAAGTACTTTTTTCTCGGTATGTAATAGTATTTTTCTCCGTGTCATATAATATATTGACTATTTTGTCAATAGAAGACGGAAGGTCAAGCTGCGCCTACGGCTAGAGTTTTTCCGCAAAAATCCGCATGAACTTACCGAACAGCCGGATAGATTCGGATTTAGTCCGTCGGTCTGCTGAGTCGTTACAGCGACGGACGTCTCCAA